AACCGATTAAATAGGAGATATGAGAATTTCTTCGCTACTATTTGTACGAAAGGGGCTTGGATGAAAGAGATGACGTGAGGTAAAGTAGTTATAAATGGGGCGGGGAGGACGGGGGCCGGCAGGGAGAAAGGCTTACCCCCTGCCTTTATTAATGTCAAGTCTGGTTTCTTGAACCTATATACCGAGTACCACATTGTACGAAGTACTCCATACTTTGACATTTCTCACCAGACCGGACCCTTCCCTTCCTGGCACTTTGCTTACGGAGCACCGACGCGTTCCTATTGGCCTGATGGGGGCCAAGAGATCGCCAGCCCCTTTTACTACTATTGGGTGAGGCGTAAATGGCCCTGTTGTACGGAGTAGTCTGGTGTCAATGTATCCACGCTGTTGTATTGACCCATTGCGCAGTGTCGTAAGCGGCATGGGTAGCATTGTGGTTCATCTCTGCATTCTGTGCCACATCCAACAGACGTCACTTTATGGCGGTGTGGTCCGTACACAGACGGGTAATACCGAGTACGGCACCAGTACTTCGGCTCCGGGTTGTGCGAGGTTGTGTGACAACTCAGCCCGTAGGTTTTCAAATACCTGGACACAGAGGCACTCCCCCCGTTCTTTCCAAAACATCCCATCTGATAGCAAGTCGCATGAAGCCCTCCACAATTCAGCAAGTTGGAGCCTCTTGTCGACTAGGAGATGGCTTGGGGCATCTTCAACGACCCTGTACAGAGTCTTGTATTTGCTGTTGGTCTTGTATTCACACCTATCTGCGTTATAGCAACCGCTCTTCGCTTTATTGCCTCTCGGGTATCGTTGGGTAAAATTGGCATTGAGGATTGGCTCGCCCTGGGAGCTCTGGTATTTTATATTACATGGACCGTAATTACAGGTATATGTATGTTGGTGTATGGCTGTCGTCGATAGATCCAAGACTAATTGAAACTAGCTGCAACTTACCTTGACGATATGGACTTCACGAAATCGAGTGCAACTTCGCGTCTTCTAGTATGTTTGTTGGTACCTTTGGCCGATTCTTATCAGCAAAACGCCTCTAATAACACAACTCAGCCTTTGGTTATTGCGACGCTCATGTTTGCCCCAAACCAACTATGTGCTAAACTTAGTATTCTATTCCTCTATCACCGTATCTTCGGCGTCAAGAAAGCTTACTCGCTCTGGATTAAAGCCCTTGGTATACTCCAAATTATCTATACTATTCCCACCATGGTGATTGAAGCGCTTGAATGCTGGCCGGTGCAAAAGTCCCGAGCCACGAATGAATCGTGTATTGTTATTTCGGCTGCATTTATGGCTCGTGCCGAGCCAGTCAACTCATTTGTCGACTTTGCCATGGCAATCCTTGCTATCTTTATGCTTCGCAGTCTACAAACCAGCCGAAAGACTAAATGGAAGCTTTCACTTCTTTTCATCTCTGGAGGACTGTGAGTATTCTGTTCCTAAAGTTCAAACAATTTAATTCCCTGGGTCAACTTGTCTAATATTTTAAAAGGGCTGGAATTATTGGCTTTATAAAGGCCGGTCTTGCGTTTCCAGCAGCTTATGGTAAGTTCCAATAGGATTGACCGAGGAGCAGCAGATTTGACTGAAGTTTTCGTAACTTAGGCAATCAAATCTTTATGGGCGTCGGGACGACGGTGCAGATGGCCCTTAGTATTATCTGCTGCTGCGCCATCACCTTTAGACCACTTCTCACGAAGACTCACCTTTTTAGCAGCCTGGCCGCTAAAATCTTGACGTGCGGAAGCAGACTTCTTCTTGTGAGAAAGGCTTTCCCGCCGTCGTCGGACCGCACATCGGATCATGGGATCAATCTAGAGACCGCTAGCGGCACCAGGCATCCCGCTGTTTCCAATGATGTGTGATTGTTGGCGCCTCGTCGACAAGAAAGCCCACGGCTTACGGCAGGTCAGTGTCCTTATCTCAAGACAAGTTGATCGCAGAGCAGTGGAGTACGCGCGCCGTTACCCATTAACATAATAAAGTTAATTACATTCAAATAAATATACTTCGTACCACTCTTGATCAGTAGCGTGCCTCGTGGCATATTGTCTATGTTGTCTTTTCTTTTCTAGAAAGTAGCTACATAGGGTCAGGGTTATCCAGGATTCTCGGATTAGACACTACCACCGATTACATGCATTCTGCATACCAGTGGCCCTACCGCTACAATATGGAGTAAGTTGGCTGTCTCAGATTACGTGAACGAGATAAGCAAATTCCAGCCATACCACTTCTCGTGTCGCGAGAGACGGACCGATTGGTTTCGACCTTTATGCACGCTGGTCATGCGCTGGTACTTGAACCAGGCTGGAACACACTGATATCTGACATTTCGGAGCATGTACTTCATACTAGAATGGATTCCAATTTTTCTCGTCCCACAGTCAAGCTTCATGCAGCGGTACCATGTACAGAGTACGGAGGAGGCTGTCTTTTTTCGCTTTTTGCGTGATTTGTTACGCAGCAAGAGAACCTGTTGTAATACCCCATACAAGGCCCAACTGCTCCGCATCTTACGTGGCGTCAATATTTTGTGTGACAGAATCATGCCTCCGCAGCCTGTCTCTCGGTGTGCTAAAACAAAAGGCGCCACCGTAAAATTAAATAAGTGTGACACATCAACCTAGCGCATCTATTTTTGACTGGTTTAATGTGAGGTTGTTCCTCTCTCCTTTTCGGCCGCACTTGCGTGTCCTCTCAACACTACGACGACGGGCGGCTGTTGCAGCCAAACCCATGGATGCGGAAGGTGCCTGATCATAACAACAAAACGGAGTATCAGAAAGTCGTTGTATGTGGCCCCGTCGAATCTGCTAGCCGTGGCGTTAGTCTTGCCAATTAGGGGTCTTAACGGTCCTGTACATAAGCGACTAATCCAGACCAGACAGCATCAAGCATATACCGAACATGATTAATTCAGACAACCACCAGGGCTAACCAATTGCAACTGCAGCTGTCGGATCTCATCCGCACCGCCATGAAGGGGAAGGGCTTGGCCCTATTTGCTCATTTGCTCAAACAAATGTCTAACTGACGGGCACATGATGCGGGGATATTAACCTCATTGGTGGGCAGAACTGTCACAAATTCACGCAGGTTTCCCCGGAATGGCCGTATATGCATGCAGATATGTATATGGAGGCGTTCTGTTTGGGTTCAGGCAATGCAAGGCATCGGCACACCTGCGAAACAAGCCGCCAGGATACCAGCTGGACAACTACGACGGGCGTGTTGCGAAACTAGACCTGCGTAATCTTGCAACTCAAGATGGAGATACAAGTCGTACGCTACAAAGGTTTACTAAAGATGGGGAAAGAAGTTGAGCTCCTGAGCTCGGCAGGTAATTATTCTCGCTTCCGAGGGTGTTACCCCAGGCACTCAGGCCAAGCCAGACCATATAACGCCTTTCCCGCTGCCGAACCATCATCTCATCTTGAGCGTGTCCGATCTTGCTCTACGATCCCAGTACCAAATAGTGTGAACAAAGAAGTCCTACTCAACATAGTGAACACCACCACGGCTACCTCATCTGGTGATGCTGGGCAACAGCCTGAACTGGCTTGTGAAGAATGCCGTCGTCGCAAGGCACGCTGTGACCGGGTAAGACCGCGGTGTGGGATATGCGCAGAGTCTGGAAGAACTTGTGTTGTTGTCGACAAGAGATCTCAGCGTGGCCCAAGGAAGGACCAACTAAAAGATTTACGGTCAAGATTAAGTGAGTCAGGAGCAAATCACCCTAACTCGAATCTTGAACAATGAGACGGGTCGCTGACATCCATCTCTGTGTTGCTAGAGCAGCGGCTAGGTGGACAACCTGATTCTTCGAATCTACCAAAAGAGCGCGACAGTTCCCCCAAATCATCTAAAAAAGTAAGCCCTGAACGCGACCTTATTTCCTCGAGCGCGAGCACCGACATTGGGTTGGATATGGGTTCTGATCCAGGGGCGTTGGCGCTCTTTGAACCAGGTTCGGGCTTGAAACAGATGCCGACACTTACACCCGATCTTACGACGGCGTCAACAGCGACTTTCATGGCAGCTTGCATTTGCGAAGGCTGGCAGACCGAACCTGGCATATTTCAAAACTCCTATCCACAAATTCCTACTCCGCAATCGGCGACAGCCCCGGGACATATGCCGTCCTTGTCGGTTGATAGAACTGTACGTTGGCCGAAGCGCCCATCAAGTCCCCAATAATAGAATATGCTTAAATAAGACGATGGGACTGACATATCGGGACGCAAAGCGATTTACTTTACTTTGAGAGAGTACACCCCGTTGCCCCCATGATCCATAAGCGACGATACTTTGCTTGGGCAGGCGACGCAGACACCTCGCCGGCTCGCACCGCTCTGCGGTCTGCCATGAGAACCATTGCCTCTGCCATGTCACCTCAGTTCTGCGACATTGGGCAAATCATGTATGCTTTGACGCGGCGCATGCTCAAAACACAGGACGCATGCGGCGAGACTGGTCTGCCATGGATGGCAAGACCAAAGCCGCCGCAGGAGCAGCAGAAGATTGACCACGAGCGCATCCAAGCTTGGCTTTTGCTCGCCTACTATGATGTTTTACGAAATTATGGGATTCAGGCCTTAGTCACTGCCAGGCGAGCCTTCCGCCTTCTTCAGCTCTCTGGACTGTATAATATGGACGCCCACAGGAGCCATATCAGTACTTCGCCTGCTGAGACGAGCTGGAATGCGCAACTGTGCCTGTCAAACAATGAAGCAGATGAGCCAATCTTGCAACAGACGTAGATTAGTGTGGAGGAAAAGAGGCGAACTCTTTTGAGTGCCTTTCTCCTTGATCGACTCTCTACGATGCTCAATGACCAACCAATGATGCTAATGGAAGAGATAGTAAGTTCCAGCAGCGAAGTGTGGGGGTCGAGTCAATCAATTTCTGTCCATCTGATGTGCCGCTGCTAACCCGCCCTTTCAATTCAATTAGATGTCAACTACACGCGACTTCCCATGGCGGAGGCTGAGTTCCAGAGTGGTAGCCAAGAGCCTGTCTCGCCAATGGGTTTCCTCGTCGGGGCGACAGACGAAAGCAAAGCCGGCAACGGCATCAATATGTTGCCTCCCTTTGCCCGCTGCGTCGTTGTGGCTAATTTGTTCGCACGCTGCATGACACATGGCAAGCTAGGTATGCAATCTACGCCCATATCTGCACCAGATTCGCAAGACTTTTGGCAGAGACACCAGTGGCTTGCATCAGCGGCCGCGAAGGCGTGCGAAACCGAGGAGTCACGATGTGACCCAATGCTGGTATTCACTCGCATCTTGGGTTACAGCGTGTGTCTGTCCCTATGCAGCATAGCAAATGCCACATCTTGGCAGACGCTGGATCACCACCTGATGGCAATGGCGTGCAAACCGGCAGGGCACCAAGCCGCTTCCGAAGTAGTTGGCATCATTAAAACTGCTCCGCGTATTGCATTCTTCAAGGTATTTTGTGCCCGTGTATACCTGACACTCGCCAGGCTTGCTGTGGATGTTGGTACTGACGGGTAGCTATGATCTTTAGATGCACCCTTTCTTCCCAAACGCCATCGCCCTGGTGGCAAGGTTTCTCAATGCCGAAGTCCCTTATTCACCTTCAACTCGAAGTACAGTGGGTGCAGTCCAGGGAAGACAAGATGCCGTCAATGACTTGCGCAGCGCACTCCGACGCATAAGTCAAGTGAACAAGTTGGCTGCAGAACTATTGTACAAACTGAAATTGGACATGGGACAGGCAATGAATAATCACAATGCGAGTCAATTGGACCAGACAGGCGATACATGGACGTGAAAAATCACGCACGGAGCATAAGCTTTACTTCAAGTATTATTCAAAAAGTCATCAAGATCAAAGTTTACATCCTGGAATATGTCATCTAGAAAAAGCCCAGAAGCCGCTTCATCTAGAGGCATTGCACCATGGTTAACTGAATTAGAGCATCGAGTGTTCAAGATTCTCGTTGACAGTGTTTTGAAGGTTTGAGCGCACTGAGGGATGTATAAACTCAAGTGCTCGTGTGCCTTTAGGGTTGTTAGAACATGGTAGAAAGACTGTTCGATGGATGAGGTGAATAGGTTAGACGCAAACATCGCAGCTAGGAAGTGAGTGCCTGCGACATGTAAATAGTATACCCGATACCACCATGGTAGAATAATCATCGGCTCACTATGGTCATGTATCTCGGCAATGAGGGATGTGACCTTTTGTGTTGCCTCAAGGCATATCCTGACACACTCTTAAAGAAGTCGGTCGCTTATTGTCGAAGAGTCGGAAGCTTATGCAATCGCAGTTGTCCGACTTTTCATCAAGTAAAGTCTTGCAAGCATGAGTCGGTATACACGATTATTGGCTAGGGCGGAGTTCAGTTAAATAATGAGACTGGACGCTGATAAACTACGCAGATCCGCCTAAATTAGCCTATATCCAATCATAACTGAATGCGATTTTTCTATGTCTTGGCCAAGCAGAGCCAATGAAATGCTGGCCCGATATTTGTGTGAGCGGCCTCTGCATGCAAGCCAACTTGTGGTATAAATGGGTAAAGAGTTAAATTTCGGAGATTTGTCCTGTCATGGCGGCAGTTGATTTCGATCCATTTCATCATACAGTGCCTTTCCATTGTCATTGTTATTGTCAGAATGTCTCAAGACTCCGGACCCCAGACTCCGGCTGACCCCGTTGACACCGAAAAGACTCACCCGTTTAATGGCACTGGCACGGCGGAGGATCCCTTCATCGTCGAGTTCCAGAAGGACGACCAGAGCAATCCCATGAATTGGGGCAGATTAGAAAATGGTTCCTAACCGCTATTGTCAACTTTTCTGTTTTTGCTGTCACATTTACGTCTTCGGCGTATTCAGTCTCATCTGCGGAAATTATGAGCGAGTTTAGCATTAGCACCACGATCTTTATTACTGGTGTTTCTGTCTTCGTCTTGGGCTTCGCAATCGGTCCAGCAGTATGGGGTCCCTTGGTACGTATATATGTACGCTTATCGACAATAGTTTTCCTTGCGGTCACAAAAAGCTAATTGTTACTTTTGCCTCGTGTAGCAAGTTTCGGCTGCATTCATTACTACCTACGAGCGACGTTAGAATACTAACCGTCGCCATTTCACTGATAGATCCGAGCTTTGTGGAAGACAGTTTCCTTGGATTGTTTCCCATATCGCCATGGTATCCTTTATCGCAGGTTCTTCTGGTAGCCCAATATTGCCACCCTTCTCGTTTTGCGTGTTCTTGCTGGTACGTTCGGAGGATCACCGCTAGTTAATTCCGGTGGTACTATTGCCGACCTCTTCCCTCCTGCTCGAAGAGGCTTGGCGATGACAATATACTGTGTCGCACCATTTCTCGGTCCCATTCTCGGCCCTAACGTTGGTGGATTTGCCACCGAGTATATTGGTTAGAGATGGGTGCAGGTATCTGCACTATCTTTATCGGCGTCATAGGTATTTTCTTTCAGCATTCATGTTGATGCTTGCGAACCGATCGCTGACAGGGCACGAATAGGTCTCATTGGCGTCATCTTGGTCCCCGAGGCCTATGGACCAGTTTTACTAGACAGAAAAGCAATTGCCCTTTCCAAGGCTGATGAAAAGGTCTACATAAGTGTCCTGGAGAAGAATATGGGTAAGAAGCAGCCATCAGAGGTCTTTGGGCAAGCTCTGGTACGACCTTGGATCCTGCTCTTCCGCGAGCATATTGTTCTTATTGCGTCACTCTACATGGCTATTATCTACGGCACTGTCTACATGTTTCTAGGAGCCATTCCCATTGTTTACAACGAGCTTCGCAAACGGAGCCCAGGCTTTGGTGGACTTGCTTTCCTTGGGATGGCTGTTGGAATCATTACAGGACTTGGGTATGCCATCTATGATAACAATGGCCATTTTATGAACTTGGAACCATCCAAGAGAACCCCCGGATCCTGTCTGCCACCTTCTATTGTTGGTGCAGTTGCTCTGCCTATTGGCATGTTCGCCTTCGCATGGACCAACTACCCCAGTATACTGTTCTCTGAATAGCAAATAACAGCTAATTTTTTGGATCCATTTCCCTTGCATCTTCCTCATAATCTCAGCCGCTTCTGCAGCATACTTGCACTTTTCCCTCACGACTGCGCCATACCGATACATAATAAGTGGGAACAGCATGCAGACCAACGTCAGAAAGGCTGGGATGGAGGTTGCCCAGTGGATTCCAATATTGTGGTACATCTTGGATGTGAACAAAGGGAATACAGCGCCTAAGATTGAGCGAAAGACCGCTGCTGCCGCCAGAACAGAGGCCGCATACGCAGTATATGCATCAATAAGGTACTTAACAATCGGTAGAATAACGAGGACGCATCCGAAGTCAAACGGTGCCGAGAGGATAATGCTTACAGCCCAGTATATGTAGGATAAGTAGCCATCTTGGCACGCGCTCTATAGGGTGTAAAGGGAGCCTTCTATTCTGAAACTACTTTGACCAAAGTCCTTGCTTGTACAGTTGTGCCACTTGTGTTTTGGCCCTCTTGCAGTTGGAGTCAAGTACTAATAGCCCACCGCAGGCCGGGGCGGCGAAGTGTAAACCGAGCCACACCGGACTCAGCCCGTTACAGAATAGAATGGGACTAAGCAGAGACTTTTAACGAGAAAAATCCGATGATCTCTCGATGATCAATTTGAGTGCGTCAATACGCCAGTCATCCTTCTCCACGAAGCTGGTGATGTTTCCATCAAACACCATGTTCTGGGGGTTCTTCAGGTTGTACGCGGGCCAGAGCGTACGCATTGATTTCACTTGTAAAACACAGATATTAGCAAAGATGTCTTGAAAGGTAGATTGATACATGGAAAAAAAAAATACCTCGGTGATTATTGGGGGAGTGAGTCGCGGAAAAGCTCATCCACATTCGGCTCATAGTGTCACCCAACTGCTTGTAGCTCTGTTTCCGTTCGGCAGGCTCAACATCAAAAGCATTTGATGGCATGCCTAGTCCCAACACGTTATCAAAGACAAAGGCAACCTCCTCAAAGTGAGTAGCTCCAAGGTAGAGGGGATCGGTGGCGCCAGGAATCGTGTTGAACCGGTAGCTGTAGCAGGGGAGGCCATATTGAGCCCAAATTTCGCACGTGTACCGCCGTCCGGCAATGAACATGACGTCTCCGGTATACCTAGCGGCGCGCAGGAACTGAGCTCCGTAGGGCGCAGAGACTGGGAAGGTATCATCCGATTGACCATGGGTCGAGTTGGTGCCCGGCTCAGGATACGCTTCCAGCAAATCGCGGATAGTTGCGTTGGTAGTGGTATGTACATACGGGTATTTCTCGATGAAGCCAGCAAATTCTTCCGTGGTATTGACGCCCATGCCAGCAAACACCTTGCCCTCGTCGGTATTAGCACCGATAAGCAAGGGAACCTTGACAAATCGGCCACTAGCAAGAGCAGTAGAGCTGTATTCGGGGACAAGGGTTCCGTCGATAACAGGTAAGAACGAGAGACTGGCGAACGCCTTGTTCAAAGTGTCAAAAGGCGCGGCGCGTAGGCATTTCAACGTGTCGGAAGCATCTGTGCAGTTTATTGCCTTCAAAACGCTCTCATACGTTTTCTGAGACTGGGCATCTGACGGAAAGCTCAGAGCATTGTAAGGTCCGCCGCTCTGACAAATTGCAGCATTAAAGAGACCATCATCCCGCCCTCCATTGGCCAACAAGTGAAAGCCCACCGAGAGAGCACCGGCTGATTCACCTTGGATAGTGACGCGCCGATGGTCACCTCCGAAGGCTTCAATGTTTTCCTGGATCCACCGGAGAGCAAGTCGCTGGTCCTGAATACCAAGGTTCAGGAGACCTTGCTTGCGAGCTTCATCCCCGGCCAAGAAGCCCCATCCCTGAAGACGATAGTTCATGGTCACCACAATCGATGGCTGGCCAATCTGAACCGACTTGTCAACCAGAGCGGTAGTGTTGTACCTGGCATCGGCAGAGCCCCCTTCTTGGAAACCGCCGCCATAAATATAAGTCAGCACAGGAAGACGCGCGTTGGGTTTCGTCCCCGCTGGCCGGACCACATTGATTGTTAGGCAGTCCTCGCTCTGGGGGTACCTGGTGGCGAGATCGGCGGGATCCAATGGCAGGCCTAGTAGGTAATTGATACAGTGAGCGCCGTATGCCGTCGCATTTAAAGGGGACTTCCAGCCCTCACTGATGGACTGGGGCGCGTTGAAACGAAGGTCTCCGATTGGGGGCTGCGCGAAAGGGATTCCCAAGAAAGCATCTTGGTTGTGGGACTCGATATATTTGCCGACAACCGTTCCGTTCCGTATATGAACCGCTGGCACTGAAATCGGCTGCACAACTCCCGCTAAAGCATTGCAAGCCATGAGAAGCACAGCCGTAGTTGTAAATGGAAGCTGCATTTTGGGTTAAGCAAGATGGAGTTCAATTTTCTGAAGGAAGTCATAGTTTGGAACATTCGGAGCATAGAAATGTCATATTTATATATACACGTAGAGAGACTACCGCAGTTGAGCAATGACCTCTTGAGGGAAAGTTTCTTAGCGGAAAGTTTCTTAGCTACTAGGATCGATGTTAGCGATTTATAATCGATGTCTAGTTGAAGGCAACTAATATTGACATGATTCCATGCCGCCCGCGCGGCAGGCGTCAGATGCACCAATGAAGAAGCGCCCTCGGGAGTCAATTGCGCGCCGTACAAAGTTTGTCTGTAGCATACAACGATAACTAACTATGGAATAATGGATGCTAGGATAATGACAGGGGTGGAAGTCCCTCAGGACAACGTCGAACCCAGAAGACGGGAAATGCTATCCCTGGTGGACTCCACTCCCATTCGTGCGAGCTAGCATTGAATTGGAATAGGAGCTGTAACCTCGGAACAGCGGCGACCAATAGGAGTCTAATCCGACCGGCTACTTTGTTTGGTCTGCGGTCCGTGGAAGATTGCCGGTGTATTAGTAAAACTGAGTGCTAAGGACAATAACTAGGTAATATATTACCAAGCACAAGAAAATGCAAACCTGTTACTTTATTCGATATGTCTATAAAGACCATAGCAAAACACATTAACAATACAACGTAGGTGCATACCGAGTGGGAGAGCACAACTAGTGGAATACTGCAAAATCTTTGTAAGGGGCACGGGGCTTATTTAACCACAAGCGTGTTACAAACCAATAAATTATGCATTAAGTATATGGTTCTCCTGCTTAAATGTCGCACGTAGCAAATATCCGCCAAACATGGCACAAGAAGCAATAGAGACTCTTAAGAGCTATGTAAGAATGGGTGGTTGTGACTCGCGTTTGAGAACTAGGGTAAATTCACTGTAATTAATCCCAACATACCAAGTAAACATAATAATTGTACTTCATCTCTCAATATGCCGGCCGTAGCTAAAAGGTTATTGAATGAACCTTAGCCAATTGACACTTTTGGTCATCTATTCCGACTCTGAGTGACCGAAGTAACCTGGTCTTGGACCCCGATATCTCCTTTTGAGTGGAACCCATGATTCTTCATTGTAATGCTACTGTACCTTGTTGCAGGCCTCGAGGCCCCAATCTGTCACACCCATCATTAGAGGGCTTTCAAACATAAAAGCCATGCTGCCGTCTACAACCTTGGTTGGCTTTAGTTCCATGTTGCTGGCTTTGGCGTGAGTATCGGAATCTGGACCGTGTGCACTCATGACGTTATGCAGACTACCCCCGGCAGCACGGAAGCCTCCACCGCTTTTGGCGTCATACTCACCCATAATCAACCCCATAAACTCAGACATGGTATTGCGGTGGTATCAAGGCGGCCTGAATGTGTCTTCTTAAACAAGCCACCGTGGCGGGAAGATGACAAAGTCTGCACTAGGGTTGCAGAGCACGGTATAGATACTTGGATCCGGGTGATCAAAGCTGGTGCTGCCAATAGTATTGAAGCGACTGAGGTCATATTTGTAAGGATAATAGTTTCCATGCCAGGCCACAACATCAAAGGGAGTGTGTGCCTGGGAAGCTGCGAAGATGGTGTTGTTGATTTTACGTAGATTATCCACGGTGAGTCCTCCCAGTCATCAAATGCTGCAACTGGCATCTCAAAGTCTCTAGTATTCGCCAGACCGTTGGAGCCAATCGGTCCGAGTTCTGGCAGTTTAAAGTGGCCATCGTCAATTTCGAGAATGTAGCCACGGACGGGACCATTGGTAGATCAATACAGTATTTTACACCCCGCGGTATAACAGCAATCTCGTTAGGTCTCACTAGACTGCGACCGAATTCGGTTTGGATGTCCAGAACCCCTTGTTGCAGGACTATGAGAAAGTCTCCGTCGGAAGAGTAAAAGGCTTCCTTGGTTGGCATTGAGCTCCCAGCCACAAAAATGTAGATGCCTAAACCTGACTTGACGGCCGGATCACCTACACCTCCAAGTCTTCTCAAGCCACGAGGCCAGTCTGCAACGTTATCCATATCGAATGGATACCATCTCAGCTGTTACGGGATTAATGAATGTTGGCTGGCTCCTGAGAGATATCGGACCTCTCAAATGGAAGATGTGTCGCAGATGGTAGGATTCGATACAACCAACTCTGCAAGTTTTCGCTCCGAGCGGGAATAAAGGCAGTTCCAGAGAGCTTCTTAGTGTACAGGCCATAGGGCGGTTTTTGGGGTGAATTAGCCGCCACAGGCAAGGCCCCAGGAACTGCCTCAGTTCTATTGATGTCAATGTGTATTGTTAATAGAGCTTAGCAAAAACACCTAGGTTGCCCGCGGGTGGCACGATTATAGCTAGACGTACTGATGGTAAGATTGGGAGCCGTTGAGGTACCGATACTTCTCCGGGATAGAGAAATTGGTCACTGGCATGATTTGGAATAATTTGATAGCGACACAAGTAGGAGAGTTGGTTAAAACTTCTAAATGAAGCTACAGAATTATGAATGGAGGAGTATATAAGAATAGTAATGTTCTTGAAAGCGGTAGAGGAGGCTAACGTCGGTGGAAAGTATGGCTATTTTTATCATATATAAGGACTAATCAAGGGAAAAGGCGTGTGGCATACATAGTCTTCAATTTATAACAGGGATTGTAGTTGCGATGAAGTTGGCTTATTTCTATTAGTAACCTGGTGTCGGAAGTTGTGGAGCGGTGGGAGAATATATAATTCGCTTCGAACAACTTGGCTAATAAGGAAATGAACCGTCATAATCGCAGTCCTTGCTATCACACCAGTGTAAAATATTCCAAGAACATCTAAAAGCTTGCATCAAATTCTTGATTTTCTAGAAACTGCCCTTGTCGCCTACAAAAGCTCCAGACTCGCAGTTTAACGTTGGACAGCGTCGGGATTTATTCCAGTAATCTATCAACAGCATATCTCCTTCTTCGACCTACCGTATTTTGACAGTTTACACTCTAAGAATAAAATTAAAATTCGAAATGTCTTGTCGGTCCTGGCTCCCTGTGGCAGCGAATTTTGCCATTTTCTCTGGCCAATATCCCTTTTGGCATCATCAGTACCAAAGCTGCTCCTTAACATCGCCCTGCTACAGTCATTGGGGAAAACGTCATTGATATTAAGGTATTTGAAGAGAAAAATGGCTTCTAAGAGTTGGACGCCGTCCGAGGAAAGCTGCATGTTTTCTCGTCGACAACATTAAATGCCTTTGCCGCCTTGGGTCGACCCGTCCACTCCAAAGTCCGGACATACTTGCAGGATGTCCTAACGCAGGGTCACCAAGGGCACATATTTTTCAAAACAATAATTCACTAAGGCAGGAGGCAGTCTTGCCCTTAGGAAATGTGACCCTGCACCTTCGCATGGATATCGGAGACTACACAGATTTCTTTGTCGGCATCAATCATGCCTTCGCGGTCGGCTCTATGTTTCGCGGGGCAGAGAATGCACTCCAGCCAAACTACAGGCATCTTCTTGTCGCTTATCATGGCAGAGCTTCTTCTGTGGTCGTTTCAAAGACGCCAGTTCGACGTCCGTCGGGTCAGATTCTCACTCATTCAGATACCGGCGATAAAGTACCTACCTTCTCCCCCTCTCGTCGTCTAGACATTGAACTGGAGCTCGGCGCCTTTATCTGCAAAGCAAGTCCTATAGGGCAACTTGCGGCACTTGGCGAAACATCTTAGTACATCTTTGGTTATGTTCTCATGAATGACTGGTCTGCTTGCGATATACAGGTTTGGGAATACGTGCCACTAGGACCATTTAATGCTAAGAACTTCGGCACTACTATCAGCCTATGGATTGTTCTTCTAGATGCATTGGAACCATTCTCAGTGTCTGGTATACCTAACGAGACTGAGCTATTGCCGTATCTCCGGGAGACGCCAGCAACGGGCCAGCTCACGGTTACTCTTATTGCACCCGATGGAGCGGAACTGTCATTACACGTACAAACGCCAGGAATCTCATCTGGTTATTTCCACAGATGTTGGCTCACCACACTGTGTCAGGTTGTCCCATGAGGCCCGGCGACCTGCTGGGGAGCGGCACTATTAGTGGACCGGAATTTACTGCGCGTGGGAGCATGCTCGAACAAAACATGGGCGGCAGGCGGGGGATCGGACTGGTCAATGGCAATGAAAGACTATTCCTGCTTGACGGAGATGAGATTCGGATTGAGGGTCTTTGCGGAACGGAAGCACATGGGCTCGTAGGCTTTGGCGATTGCTCTGGAAAAATTCTCGAGGAAATTCAATTTAGTTGATATCGGAGCAAACAATGACCTAGTAGAATAGAATGGAACAGCCATTTTAGTAAAAACCTTTAATGCGATCGAAATATGTCTCTTTGTGATTGGACTAGACTTTTGTCTCATGACGTGACGGATCATGCTAGGCTTTTGTGCCAATGACGAATTTATCCCTAGCCCCATGGCGTAAATATTTGAGGTCCTAATAGACATACTCATCCCCTTGTAATTGTCCGGAAAAACTATCCCGTCTGTTTTGGTGTGGATGTATTTCTTTGAGGCCAATTGGAATGTTCAGTTTTTGCATCTTTGTAATACCATCCGACGGACCCGACGCCAAGTTTCACAATTACCGTCGCAATAGAGTGTAAATACTTGCCTCGTTTAACAATTAATAGACACATTGAACTTGATATTCACAAGTTATGGTTATTGGGAGGACATAGCAGTGCCTCTTAAAGTCTCCAGTCATGTCTGCTGTGGCCGTCGCTGGTGGCCTAGGCGACATGGGCAGTCGTATTACGGGCGCCCTGGTCGAGAGAGGGAAATATAAAGTCTATGTAATGTCTCGGGAGGTAAGACCCATGCTGGAAATATCCCTTGAACGTGATTTATTCATGTCGATATCTAATGGGAAACGAATAGCTACCCAAAACCGTCGTACCTTCAGGGTCGCCTCCTCTGACTACTGTCATAGAGACAGACTATTCATCCGTGGATAAACTTGCCAAAGTTTTGGAATCTTATAACATACAAACCGTTATTTGCGCATTTTCCCTGGATTTTCCTGCCGCTAGCGACTCTCAAATAAACCTCATCCGAGCCTCTGAGATGGCCTCAACAGTGAATCGGTTTATCCCGTCCGAGTTCAACGTTGACTACGACTTGCCGGACGAAGTCCTGCCGTATCCGCACAAGAAGTTCCACACCAGTGCGCGTCGGGAACTGGAGAAGACAAACCTTGAGTTCTCATACATTTATGCGGGCATGTTTATGGACTATTTTGCTATGCCAAACTTGGAGACCTCTCTTCGCGAGGTTTGTTTCATAGTAGATCCGACCAATGGTGTGGCCAATGTCCCAGGAGACGGAGAGTCCAGGATGGCAATGTCCTTGGCCCAAGACGCCGCGCGGTACACAGCACTCGCCCTTGAACTCGACGCTTGGCCCCGTGTCATGACTACGGCAGCTAGTTGCATATCAATTAACCAGCTAATCACTTTGTTTGAGGAGAATTTAAAGCACCGGCTTGACATTACGTACCAGCCAATCCAGAAGTTGACCAAGCACGAGAATGAGCTGCTCCCCAGGAACATTACAATCGCTGACAGCTTCCCGGGTGGCATAGAGCAGGTCAAGGCTCTCACGGCAGACTTGGAGGCTTCTATAGCCCTGGGATCCTTCCAGTTTGACAAATTGACAGATCACCTGGACCTTGTCATGGAGTTCAGAGGAAGGACAGAACCACCCATGGTGATCGAGCAGTTGCTCAAGATGGCTTGGAAAGAGAAATAAAAATTGCGGGAATATCGGTAAATAGTCAAAGAAGCCGAGTTAATAAGTTTACGTTGAACTAAATAAGATATGCATATCTGCTAGGCACTATACTAGAATCTGTGACTGCCCTATTCGCTGCATCGTGTCTTGCCAACGCTCTGGGGTGGCAAATCCGCGACGTACTAGATCCCGATGATTCCACACCTCGTCGAGAATTTTTTGACCATTCCTGGTATTATCGATTCCGAGGAGGTGTAAGCCGTCCCATCTTGAATTGATGTATTCACGCTGTTCCGCAATGTCTAGTTCCGCCCCTAGGACCACCAGACACCATCCCAAATTTGCCCCCGGTCCCAGAGCATCTGGCACCTGAGTGAGAAGCTGCAATGCTGTTTCCAGCGAGTCTTGCGTCTCTGGCGTCAGGGCTTCCATCGGGGCGTGTGCGATGCGATGGACATAGATGTGTGCTGCATGACGAAATATCTCGGCCGTAGCACCCGCTCTCCGACGGAGCTCCTCCCTATCAACCCCGACGGTAACGGAGAATTCTTGCGGGGTATCATTGCACGACAATCCGATCATGATTTGGGAATTGTCTTGTAGTCGGGTGGATCGAATCCGGGTCTGGAGGCTCTCTGCTTGGCTCCGTACCCAATCCTCACTGATTTCTGCCTGTTTGGAGGCAACGTATAGGCGAGAGGCAGCAGCCTAGACAGAAGAAAGATCAGCAAGAAATAGCAACAAGCAGACCGGTTTCCCTACCATTAGCCTTGGAAGTCGCGCTGAACATCCAAACAGTGCATCGACTGTGTAGCCTCGATCAGAGGAGGCGGCGCCCATCCATTCTTCTAGCTCAGGAATGGTTGAAGTCCCGAGGTTCAAGGCGTTCTGTGTATCAATAAGACAAACCCAGTTCTTGAGAAAGGAATCGATATCAGAACAGTCTCTTCGGCCCTGAATCCATCCGCGAATAGCAGTGTGGTGGCCTTTCCAGCGGCTTGATCCTGAAAATACCTGCACAGAAGTGTTAGTTGGCACCCGTTTGACAAATTGCGATAGTGATTCACCTCGTATGAAACCAAGAGCAGCATGGCAGCTAATGTAGCAGGGCTTTTTATGAGACGCGGGTCGGTGAATCTATCACGGACGGCCTTGCAAGCGGCTCGCAAATATTTACGGGACATGGTATCTGGTATACGCTGCCACCGACTATGATGCGATGCAGCCACAGCCAGTGCCGCGTTGAGGACGCATGGCTCAGTGAGTGCCATAGGGAGCAGTGACCGGTATCCGTTATCATCGTGGTCAATCGCAAGTGCGATGCGGGCGATATTCCCTGCACAACTCGTGCTCTGTTAAACAGGCTCACCACAATAAAGACATGCTCGGATGTTTGTGGTTTAAACATACGAAGAAAATGCTGCATGTAGAAGCTCTCTGTCGTTGGTAGGGTCAGGGTTGATATTGATGAAGGTAAGGCATGTCTGTCGAGTCGGACAGCATCAGCAGGCAGCGATCCTTGTGCCAACGACCCGGATGCTCGCTGCTTGTGTCGCCTTTGTTGTTTTGGCGCCCAGATGTCCTTGGGCCACGATATTCTTACTCCATAGCCAGAACACTTTACACCTCGTTCGTGACAAGCTCGGCATTCTACGGGGAAACAGAAACGTTACAAATTAGACTCGGCTGTTGGCAAGGCATGTGGAAACTATGTTCACTGGGGCAAGTTGCGGGACTATTCAGGCGTACTGGGAAGCATGCGGTCGCATTTCCTTTTGTGGCTAAGACATGTCCAGCAGGCGCCATCTTCATTGTCGAGTTCAGGGTTTCGAAGTGTAAGGTCCATCACAGGGAATTAATGCTTTAGGTACGGATTCCGGCACAACATATGCGGGGGAACAGAAATGAGAATGGCAGACCTGGCTATTGGAACAGTAGATGGGGAGTCGGGTGCCCCGGATGAGTGACAAAGCCAACATTGGAATATTCTGGGGCCGAGAGGGAGCATGAAAGCCTCTGAGGCAGGCCACGGAGTACCGGCACAACCAGGCATGCCGATGTCGCAGAAGTATGATCCCTCATTGCCGATGGCTCAGGTTAAGCCATCCGCGTCACTGAAACTGGTTCACCCTAACCAGGAGGCTAACACCATACTAATGAATCAATTTCTCATCAACAATGAAGCACAAACGTGTACATACAAGCTGGGAATGCGATAGCTTGGGCAGAAAAAATAAAGCACATACATTGTCGTCGCAGCCTGTTCCCTTGCCAAGGAGAACTGACCTGGCAGTTGGGCCACTGATGCCGGGTAGTGCCTCTGTAGACTGAAGTCGCAGAGCTTCAATGTTGGTGTGATGGCTGACTGTTATAGTGTTGGCTATTATAACTTGACTTGGCCAAAAGTTAAATTTGGAGGAAAGGAAGTTGTTTGTTTTTTGGTATTAAAAAGAGGTATGAGAGACACTACGATTGTACACAATGTATCTCTGGCAGCAGTAATGGTAAATAGCAGAGAAACGATGCACGGAACGTCGAGATCTAAAATGAACAACTTGTTTTATCATGCCATATTATCTAGGGCGATTGAGTTTATGTTTAAAAACACCAATATATAGCTCTGTTATTCAGGAAATACGTGTTCTAGACAAAACAGTCCACTACCTACGCCACCAATCTATGTCTTCCTAAATCCAGTCACTAATGGCTATGTCGCGATGCCGACTTATAAGCGACTGCATACCGCGGGGTCGAGAAAACGATGGTGCTGCCTCGGTGAATAAAGAAAGTATCACCAGGGAGGAGCTTTGCCTCATTGCCCTTTTCATCTCTAATGTGAAGCTCGCCTGTTGAAACAAAACACACACTGTTAGTATCTTCTCAATGAGCACTTGGTATAATTCGTACCCTTGATAACAACTCCTGTCTCGTCATATTCATATTTCGGCGCCGGGTCTGGTCTTTCGAGATAGTCTAAAAAGAACATGGAGCTAGTTAAAGGGCTTGGTGCTTCGGGTGATGAGGTAGAGAAGACATCGGCTAATGGAAGAAGACGTTATTATTTTTCACTTGCATGCGCGCCCCTACTCGTTTCAAGGCGTCTGTCTTTGTTCGACGTCTCTTGCCAAGCTTACCAAAGTACACATTAGGCGGCCCAGGGACCAGTTTAGGAACCCTGTGAAAATGTGCTTCGCTCTTCCACTCGAAAACCATTGTTGAGGCGTCTTGTTGATAACTTGTCACAAAATTGTAAGTAGAGAGGTTTGATGGTTGTAACAAAACTCATCTCATAGCACTTCCGATTAGTCTTTATACTCTAAGAATTGCCTGCTGAAACGAAAGGGATGTCAAAGACTACTAGAGTCCATATCAGAGACCAACGGGATGTTTATCCTGCATGTGGGGAGTTTTGAATAGCGATGCCCTGCCCACCAAGACAAGAATTTCAACCATTTGAAACTTGTAATGTTCACACTATGTCATGCTCGAACATCAAATCTACCGGTTGTAATATAGAAAATATAAGGTTGCAGCCCACGGTCCGTAAAGGAAAAATATAGAATAAAAATTGCTATTAACGCAGAGTAAGATGAACATAAAGCACCAGACGAATGCAAAGCCAGGACGATATGCCATTAAAATGACAGCAATAGTTCATTTAATTTCAACACATTTCACGACTTTTTACAAGGCCTTGGGAGTCTGGCTGCGCGATTTTCTGTTGCGTAGTCATAGACTAAAAAGTGAACCCTAATCTTCATTCGAAG